AAGGGATTTTTTGCTGTTTTAATAGTGTGTAACCCCCTTAATGATATTCATGATATTCATGAATAAAAACCCTAATGGTAATGTTAATGATAACGATGGCTATGGTTATGATGATCTTGATAATGACAACAAAGGTGATAACAAGTGAAGAAGAAGAAATGAAGGTGGATTTTCTCAAAAGTTTACCATCTGAATTGTCTTTACATATAGTAAGATACTTAGATGCATCGACTATGTGTAAAGCAGCACAAGTCAGCAAGAGCTGGAGGAATTTCGCTGATGGTAATGGATTTACTTGGAAGAAACGATTGTTAGAAGATGGTTTTAATCTTGAGAAATCAGTGGAAGAACGTGCAATCTCTGAAAATTGGAGTATACAAACTTCAATAAGTTCTCCATCATTACACACGGAATCACTTCCTTGTTCAACAAATCATCCATACAAGGAGATCTATCGAAGGTATTATTTGATGAATAAGATTGGCTTTGGTTCTTACACAAGTGATTCTGAAACAGCATCTATTACGTCTATTCCATGGTGGGAATACAACTAGTATTTTCATTATAAATAAGAATTATATTGTTAAGTTGTTTATTTGCTTTCCTTTTTTTAAAAAAATAAAATAAAATAAAATGAGATGAATCATATTGTTATTGCTATTATATAAAAAATTCATTGTGTCATCTTATTTTTTTGTAGTAGTAATTCATTAACAGAAGTCAATACCAAATTGAATTGCAAGCAATTTAAAAAAATTTAGAAGAATTGTATTGCTTCATCAAAATTGAAATAATTTTGACCTTCAAAATCACCAAACCAATCTGGCTATATATACATGTATAATAAAACTGATCAAATCACAATTGTGATGTTAGACAAGCAATATTGATCCCTGAAATTTTGGTAATACCAATGTTCACTTTGTCTGGTTTTGTTGCGGCATGCCCCATTTAAAATAAACTAAATTAAACCATTTATTTTAAATTAATTAATTTATTTATATGATTAATTTCAGGCATTGAATTATTGTAAAGCCTCAAATGTTAATTGTCATGGTATAACTAAATTCCCAGAAAATGGAAATTATGCAATGGTCCTTGCTTATGTGCAAAATGGAAGTTTAAGAGATTATATACAAAAAAATCATTGCAATTTAACATTAAATGATAGAATTAATATTTTTAGAAGTTTATGTGAAGCATTATATAATATACATGACAAAGATTTAATTCATTGTGATTTACATAGATTAATAAGTGGAAATGCTTGTTATATCACAGATTTTGGATTATGTGGACCAGTTGATGAAAAATTATCAAATAAAATTTATGGGATTATATCATATATTGCACCAGAATTATTTAAAGGAAAAAAACACACAAAAGAAACAGATATTTATAGTGTTGGGATGTTAATGTGGGAAATATTTGCAGGTCATCCACCATTTGATGATAAAGCTCATAATTGTGATTTAATGTCTAATATATGTGCAGGTTTACGACCACCAATATTACCTGGAATGCCTGGTGATTATGCACAAATGATGAAAAAGTGTTGGGATGTGGATCCAGCCAAGAGACCAACTATTAATGAGCTTTTGGATTTTGCTAGGAATCAGTTTAAAGAAATTATCAATAATAATCATGATAATAATAGTATTAGAAGTAGTAGTAGTGATTCACAACAAGTACACAAATCACATCCATTAGCATATCATACAAGTAGAATATTAAATGATGAATTAGCTAAATTGAATTTAAGTAATGATAGCTTATTAAATTATGAAATATAATTTTAATGAGGTATTAAATTAATTGAAGTTATTAATTTAAATATGATTATTTATTAATTAATTATAATTATAATGATAATAATAAGTAGTTGATAAGGTTAAAGTTGGGGAATTGGGTGAATTATTTATTGATGGATAGATAATTAATTATTTTCACCATTTATTAGTTATCTTTTATATTTATTATTTAATTTTTTTTTATTATTATTTCTAAAAGTTTAAAAATAAATTTGACTAATTTCTCCAATTCAGAAGAATCACACATTTTTATGATTGAATAATACATAATTTTCTTGATGTCAAAAATCAAATGTTAAATTCAAAATGAACAATACTACATTTCATTTTTGAAACATTTTCTTGAAGTTGATTGTATTTTTGAAAGATGAGATAATGTTTTGACTGAATTCGAAATTAAATATTTTAAAAGATTCATTTAACAAAATAAAACAAAGAAAAATGAACTCTCAATCTGGAAAATGCGTTACATTTTCTTTGTTTTTAACCCAGTATTTATTCAATATTTTTTAGAAGACTAATAATTAATGTGTCAGATATTAATTTTACTTGAATAATATTAAAATGTCACCATACTTTAGAACTGGATTAATACGTAAAAGTTTTAATGAAATTCTCATCCTGATTTTCCAACTAATTCTGACAATGAAAATAGAAAAGGTTGTTTTTTCCAATTAGTCAAAGAACTATTAAAAAATGAAAATGAAAATTGTAGAGGAAGTTTATTTATACATTTGAATTATTGAATGCAATTAATAAATATGGCGAACCAAGAGAATGCAATAATTGTAAATAACAACAAGATATTCTAACAAATATCGTATTAATATACACTTACAGAGCCTTTTCAGTACTTGGACATCTGGCAATGAGATAATTGATAGTTTTATTCAAAAATGTCGGCAGTTTTCATTCATATCTTCCATAGAATGGATACATTAAGCACTCTTTTCCAATACAATATTCCAATGGTTGTTAATTTAAGACTCAGCTGTTTATATAAACAAGCGATGATATTTTACCTCCTATTGCATATATTAAATTTGGTTTTTTTATTTTTATTTTTTATGACTTAGCGAAACGTGGGGAAAGTTTAGCTTATTAAAGATTCCTTGCAAGAACTATCAGCCCAGAAAGGCAATGTAGATATTTACGTCATTCACATCTCCATGTAAAATTTCTCTTTCGGTTACAACATGATGGAATCCATGGTTTGAAATGGTTGATTATACAAGAAGACACCTATCATATTGGGAATTAGGATGAGTTAACTAAAGATCAACCAGATGACACATGCATTCATTTTATTTCTATCCATGCCAAACAATTTAGTTAAGATGCAAGTCGTTGTTCCACTTGTAGAAAGTCATAAAAAGCAATTATCTGAACCGAACTAACCAAAACTTTTCACATCTTATTATCCAAATGATTTTAATTCTATTTTCCATTCATCTTTTGAAGTTGCTCTTAACAAATTTAATGCATGCCCGAAATTTATATGGATCAAAAGAAAACATTTACGTCAATATAGAGAGAGCCATCAAGGAATTAAACCTCCTTCAGATGAATCGCCGAATAGATGGGAAATTTATTGTATGTACTATGTATATGAATTCCGTGTCTTATTTATTTTTACTAGTGCAGATATTGTGTCATCTTTGTAATATGGTCATTGTATCTCACTGGAGGTGCGATAAGGAAAAGTTATATATATTTATTTCGTTTGAGCACGTGCTTAGAATTTTTATCACCTGAACCTCTTATATTTAGTTACACAAATCAAAAATTATAAAAAAATTTTTTTTTTCAAAATATGGATATTTTTGCTGATAATGATAATAATATTATTAAAGATGAAAAAATTATTGATAAATTACTTTTAAAAGATGACGATGATGATGTTGGTGATCACAATGAAGATGTTGAAAATGATGATTCTGAAGAACAAGATGATGACGATGATGATGATGACGACAACGACGACGACGGCGACGACGATGATGATGAATTAGATCAAGAATTTGATGATGATTTAATAAAATTAAATATCTCTAATGATAATTTACTTGATGGTAAAGAAATTGAGCCTGATTTACAAATAATTCAACAACGAATTCAAGATATAATAAGAATTCTCAATGATTTTGGGAACCTTGGAGATCATAAACGGTTAATAATATATAATAATTGGCTCCACCTTCTCGATTTTTTTTTTTGCGATTTTTCACATTAACGCATCATATTTATCATATTTGTATTTAGAGGAAGATCTTCCTATGTGGAACAACTTATTAAAGACATGTCAATATATTATGGATATTCTGAGTTCTTGATGGAGAAATTATTTCATCTATTCTCAACATCAGAAGTATTAATCAATTAATTTACGAATTCAATCCAATATATTCATTCGTTCGTTCGTTCATTTGTTCAATAATCTATTTGAATTATTAGGCTATTGAGTTTTTTGAGGCAAATGAAGTACCTAGACCAGTGACGATTCGAGCAAATACATTACGTACACGTCGTAGAGATTTAGCTCAAGTAAAATAAGAATTATTATTGTTTTTGTTGTAATTTTTTATATTAGATTAAAATCAGTTGATGATTTTATTTCGATTTTTTAAAAAAATTGTTTTGTTCTAGGCTTTAATTAATCGTGGTGTTAATTTAGAGCCTATAGGAAAATGGACAAAAGTTGGATTAACAATTTACGATTCATCTGTACCAATCGGGGCGACACCAGAATATCTTGCAGGTCATTACATGTTACAGGCAGCATCATCTTTCTTACCTGTTATGGCATTGGCACCTCAAGAAAATGAAAAAATACTTGATATGGCATCGGCACCAGGTGGAAAAACATCATACATGTCAGCATTAATGAAAAATACAGGAATAATATTTGCTAATGATTCAAACAAGGATCGAATAAAATCTTTGGTAGCAAATATACATCGTTTAGGAGTAAAAAATGCTATTGTATGTAATTACGATGGACGTGAATTTCCTACTGTTATGGGTGGATTTGATAGAGTATTATTAGATGCGCCTTGTAGTGGTACAGGTGTTATATCAAAAGATCCATCAATTAAAATTAACAAGGTAGGAGGAAAGTTTTTAAAGAATTCATTATATACATATACATATACATATATTTTTACTTATTTTTCATTAATATGTAATGCAGACTAGTAAAGATTTCACAAAATTATCTCATTTACAAAAGCAACTTATATTATCAGCAATTGATTCAGTTGATGCTAAATCACCTACAGGTGGATACATTGTATATTCTACTTGTTCAGTAACAACAGATGAAAATGAAAATGTGGTGAATTATGCTTTAAGGAAAAGGCCGAATGTCAAATTAGTTCCAACTGGTTTGGATTTTGGTAAAGAAGGTTTTATAAGGTGAGTGGACAATTGTTGATTAATTATATATAAATTCGTACATTTATAAATATATGATAATAATAATATTACTGCTATTATTACTATTCTCATCATTATCACTAAATTAAAATCTTCAAAGTTATCGAGGCAAACAATTTCATCCTTCGCTAACCTTATCAAGAAGATTTTATCCACATGTAAACAATATGGACGGATTTTTTGTTGCGAAATTTAAAAAATTTTCAAATAACTTTAATAATCTCAACAACAATAATAAGAACGTTGTTGATAATGATGAAGATAATGATGTTCCAAAGAAAAAATCTAAAAATAAAAATAAAAAAGATGAAAACATAAGCTTCGATTCTGACGAAGATAATAAATATATACAAGGTAAATTATGAAACATGTAGTTAAATATTCTTAGTTGTATGATTAATATTTTTCTGTTTTGTTACCGGTGATCACAGCATCAATGAAAAAGTCGTTGAAACGGAATGGAAGAGCAAAAAAACAAAGAATAGAATGAACCAATAGAGCAAGTAAACAAACAAGTAAACAAATAAACGAATAAAATTAATTTAAAATATAAAAAATCTATGTGTTTTGTGTAATTGTTATTGTTACAAATTAATCTAAATCTATTTTGGTTAATTCAGCTTTCTCCATTTTTCTGCAAAGCTCCCTGGCAATATAATGCCACGAATATTTATGTACAAGAATCTTTGACCCTACTTCCCAAACACGTTTTCTTTTCCTTTGATATTCATCTTCCGGTATTGAAAGTAGAATTTTATCAATCAAATGCGCGTCTGATCTTTTTATGAATACCGAAAAACTAGACAAAATATGCAAAATGATTAATAATTAATTCGAATTTTTGATTAAAATATATATATATATTTATTTATTCTTGGAATAATTACCTGTGCCAATCGACATCATTTTCAAATGGTAAAATTATACCATCAGATATAATTACCGGAACCACTCCAAATGCTAAATATTCCCAAAGCCTAGTTGTGTCTAATGTCCATCCTTGCGGCGTAAGTCCATATTTCGTCCTTGATAAAAGTCTTGCATATTCCTCGTGTGTATGGCCGTTTTCCTCGTCAATATCATACCTAGGTAACTTAGCTAGTCCGTTAAATAATAACGACCTAATGCCAAGGGAATATACATCATCTGGTTTGGTGGACTTGCAACATCCTCTAAATGTAGCAAAGATGTCTCTATTATAAGGATTACCATCCGGATTTAAATAATCACCAGGGTTAATATTTGCCACGTTTAATATACGCGTGGTAGATGGTACAACTATATCGGACACTCTTTTATCCACATGGTTATACTGACAACAAGGTCTTTTATCACCAACCGTGGTAAGAAATGTTGAATTAAGCATTAAAGGTCGTGTGGTATTATAATATAATGATGCATGATCCATTGGGTGTATCATGATATGATTTTTTCCGTTTGTTCTGTTCCAGTACGGAAAATCCTGAATAATATGATTCATAAGAGGTATTGCATAATTATCATCTACATTGCATCTTTTTGTCCAATTCCAATTATTATTGTCCCAACAATTCATTAAATAACACGATCCAAAAAACGGTATTAAAAAAAAATCTGCTTTTTCTGCATCCTCTGTCACATATAAATCTCTAATTTTGCCTGGTTTAAGAAGCTTTTCATAAAGTACGACTTCTGAATTATAATTCGAGCCAGTGCAAATAGCACGCTTATAATAACTTTGATTTTGCAGCTTTATTGGAATGTCATAGACAAAAATTTTAGGTTTGCAAAGCGCATATTGAATATTTGGTGGCCATGAAGCATACATGCTAGTTAATGGTGGTAAGGGTTCCAAAACCTCAGGTTGTTGAGTATCATGAGTGTCATGAGTGTCATGAGTATCACGAGTATCATGATTATAACTTATCCATAAAATTGACAGGCTTATTAATAAAAGCGCTATAAAAAATATTTTTTTTTTAAAGTGTGTTATATTCATCATAGTTACCGCTATTATTATTTATTATCAATTTAAGAAAAAAATCCCACTATATATAATAATGTGTGGATATCACGTTTGCATAAATGGTGTTATTTCATTAGTTGGCTAAATCACTACCCAATCAAAAAACGACTTTTTTCTATATTTGTTCATCAAGTGATTGATAATTTGTCCATTTTCATTCAATTCGTATAAGACAAAAATACTATGAACCCTATTTCATATGATTTAATATTAATAATTTATATTTATGCCAAATAAAATTTTTTTTAATGAGTTTGCACTTATTGGGCTAATTGCAATTATTCCTAATATTTAATGTAATCAAATAATAAACAGACTAAAATAAATAGACTAGTTCATCAACGACACCACGTGGACACACAGATCATTTAGTCTTTAATCCAATTAACTTTACCCTAATACTAACCTTTCAATATCGATTTACCCTAAAAAAATGTAACATATTAATATCTATGTAGTTTCTGGGGTCCCGTAATGGCGTATATAATGCATTAATTATTAATTGTTTACTGTGTAAATGGCACAATAGATCAACTTTAATACTAAAAAAATTTTTTTTTCCAAATTTTATTATAAAATTTTGCGTAACGAATATTTTTTTATATACAACATTAACAATAAAATGGATCACATGATATTTCAAATTTTTTAACATAAATACTTACAATTGTGATGGTGGTGGCAATGGAGATGTCAAAGCTAAAAAAGCTCTTAAATTATTCTCTTCTAACAAGAATTGTCACGTTTTTTTCTATAAATGAAATAAAGGGATGAAGCGCTCGTCAATATTATTTTTTCACCGATATTATTTTCTTCATGACGCATTACGCATCTTTTTTTTTTAATTGGGCATTCATTCATTAATAAACATTATGTATTTAGAATTTGTATTCACGGATACCGTAAGGAGGTCCACATTATTAAAATCAAGGGTTTTAATAGTAATAATATGTAACCAACCCTCTTAGTATTCATGGTATATATCCGTGAATACAAACCCTATATGTATTGATTGATGTTTTACAAGCCTGGCAGAAACGTAAATATTATTATTATGTAAATTTGAAATGTTACATTAATTTTTCATATTGTGCAACACAACTTTTACAATACATAGCAAACATTCTTGGCAATGACAACTTTTACAATACATAGCAAACATTCTTGGCAATAACAACTTTTACAATACATAGCAAACATTCTTGGCAATAAAAAGTGATAAATTGGATCTCCTCCAATTTAAAGATGTTACAACTATATACCGGTGAAGTTTCAGGAACAATGGGTTCTGTATAACATTTAGTGTAACAACAAACCTCCACTATGCTTTTTATTGATGATAAGTTTTTATTGCTAATGGTCGATTTTGCTAATTAGTTATTATATATCTTAATACCATTGCCTGCTAGTATAATATACATAATGCTCACTTTGTTGTGGCATATATATAATTAACCGAAAGTTTAAAGTGCGACTTTACAATATAAATGCCGATCACAATTGGTTCCAGCCACAATAAATAACCCAATGAGAGAGATTTTTAACTTTGCCAAATTTACATATGATCCTCAATCTTATATTAATATTATTTAATATACATTATGTATGACAAAAAAGCTGTGAACAAATTAGAATTTCTTCTTTTTTAAAAAAAAATTTACACACTTACAAATCTGACATCAATAGATAACATAAACATTATGACAACAGGAGCAACAAGAGTTTATATTGGACGTCTTGCTAGAGATGCTCGTGAGCGTGATGTTGAAAAGCTGTTTCGTGGATATGGTACCATCAAAGAAATAAAATTAATGAATGGATTTGGCTTTGTTGAATTTCGAGACCATCGTGATGCTGATGATGTTGTTTACAGTTTTAACGGTAAAAGTTTTATGGGTGAAAAGTATGTATATAACTTTTTGTTTATTATATAAACCTTTGCATCAATATTATAAATAAATAATAATTACCGAGCAATTAATTTTTTTTACTTTCAATAATAATTATAATTAAATAATTAATAATAAAATAGATTAATTGTCGAATATGCTAGAGGAGAACGTAGAAGACGTGAACGTGATGATCGTAGAGGGGACAGAGATGACCGCAGAGATAGGGACAGGGATAGGGATGATCGTCGACGAGACGACCGTGGTGACAGAGATCGTGGCAGGTATGTTCTGAAACTAATTACTGGGAAACATTTTTCTATTATTTTTTATTATTTTTTTTAATTAATTATTATTCTTTTCTATTATTATATATATTTTTTTTTTGTAGGTTTGCACCACCTCAGAGAAATCCTCACTATCGTTTAATTGTGGAAAATTTGTCTTCAAGCTGTAGCTGGCAGGTATGCAACTATCATCCAAAATCCAATCAATTGCCGCCTGCAGCTCCTGCTATTTGGCTGGCCTGAATTTTCTGGTGTTTTTTTTCTGCGAGATTCTTCATATTGGACTTGGTTGTGTATCTCTCCCTCCTATCCCTAATGCCCCCAATGGCTACTTAATTCAGCATAAAAATGTCATGGTGATTTCTACCATACATTTTCCTATATATCACAATCTCTAAACAAGACTGGTAATTGGCTGTTTAAGAGCTGATTGGGGATTTTTTTTCTTTTCAAAAAATATGGTGTCTTTTGATAATTATTTACGATTTGTTTCATTAAAGGAAAGTGTTCATTAACGTTAAGAGGAGGGAAAATATTAATAATAATATAATCAGGAATGGAGAGAGTAGACACCGGTTTTACAAAATATGGAATCTTTTTGCTCGCCCTTATTTCCGATCTATGATTTGGGTTTCTATTTTCTATCTGCCTTTATGTGTGCCTGTTGTGTTCTATCACCAATCATCGTCATTGGATCTATTGGCTCTTGTTTCTTCCATTGGTTCTTCTCATATGGAATATTACAAGAGTCTAAGAGGGTCATCAGTGAAGAACATCGTCGTCCTTTTACCATATTCAACTCAAAACCTCCTTCCACTCCTACTCTCTCTCCCTCCAATTATTTTTTTAACAAAGGATCTCAAGGACCTAATGCGAAAAGCTGGTGAAGTAACCTTTGCAGATTGTCATAAAGATCGCCATGGAGAAGGGTATGAATTGTTTATTAATTATATATTTTAAAAAATTTTTTATTTGATATGTATATTGATGTACATTTATGTTTATTAGTGTGGTTGAATTTTCTTCTTATGAAGATATGAAAAATGCAATCAAAAAACTTGATGACACTGAATTAAAAGGAAAACATATTATTCTTCGTGAAGCTCCGGTAATTATATTTCGTTCATTCGTATATATATATTTTTTTTTATATTTTATATTTTTTTTTATATTTAAAAAGATTTTTTTTTTTTAATATATTATAGGATAACGATGTTGATCGTGAGCGTCGTAGAAATTCGCGGTCTCGTTCAAAATCACCACACCGTCGTCGTTCTCTATCTCATTCCCCACCACGTCGTCGTCGTTCTTCCTCAAGATCCAAGTCACCAGTTTCTAATGGAAAAGATAATGGTTCTCGTTCCCCTTCGCCTCATCTTAGAAATGAAGAATCTCCTAAAAGAAGTAGTGAACCACCTCATGAAGAAGAGGACAAGTAAAGAATCAATTCATAACATATATTTATATAAATTATATTCCTTTAAAAATCTCGGTACTAAAATTAATTTATTTCCATTAACAAATTAGAGAGATGAAGGTTGTTGAAAATGAATAGAAAAACAGACAAAAAAAGAAAAGAAAATAATAGTGGCATGCTTTTATTTTTTATTATATTATCATAATTCATAATATTTATGATGTTCTCATATTTCTTTATTTTATCTCTTTTTTACCTTCTTTTTTTAATAATCAATATAAATTTTTTTTTAGGCGTAAATCATTGCAAAAAAAAAAAATTTGAAGAATTTACAAATCACCTTTACATTTTAATTAATTAATTAATTTTTATTATTGGTGTAAATTTTTTATTTTTATTTTCGTTTCTTTTTTTACCCTTTAATTAATTTATTTAATATTATTTACTATTAATTTTAAATAATTTGCTAATAATAAAAAAATTATCGTCAAAATACTTGAAAAGTGGACTAGTCAATCAATCAATATATTAAATTAATTTGTTTGCTACACTACTGAATTTTTTTGGTCCACTTTATCACTAAACCTTTGTTGCCGAGATTAATATTAAAATTACCAACAACCATCTGGATAAAAATAAAAAAAGCTCCTTCCTTTAAACAACAAAACTTGTGACCGATTTTGGGATAATGCCCTAATACTAATACTAACTTAAAAATATAAGAAAAAAGTTTTTTTTGAAAGAAGACATTATTATTATATATAAACAGATTACTTAGAAAAAGAAAAGAAACATGGCGCTCTGCCTAATAAAATATTGAATTGATTAATAATTTATTATATAGTATTGTCGACTATAAAAATAATTAATTATTCGAGAATCATTGTTCATGCTTGTTTTCTTTTTACTTCCAAAAATCAAATCCAGACAGATTATGACGTATAATAAATACGTACTTACTGCCATGTGGAATAAAAAAAAGCTAACGCGGGAGTAAAAGTGTTTGGATAAAAGGATCCACACTTCTATTAAATGAATAAACAGACAGCGAGCGTCCAAGGAAAACAAACTATTTTGGCACAGCAAATTGTTCCGAAAGAGTCAAAGCCTTTTTTGTAAAGATGTCCACTGATAGATTTTAATATTAACAAGAACTATTGCTTTTTCGATCAATTAATGAAGAGAAATCTTAATATTAAGCAAAATAATAAACCCATTCATTACTTTTTCGAATTAATAAAGAACTATTACTTTTTTTGATTGATAAAAAAAAAATATCTTGATACTCATGTTATTGTGGCTTTTAAAAGCAATCTCAACTATTATTCTAATGCTAAATTGGATATATATATGCTAAAAGGAAAAATCTTGTTGCCCATTAATGTTGATCATCTGATTGATTATTATTATGCAGATAGATAGATACAGGTTGATTGAACACTTCAACATGAACTTATTAAAATTTCATCCTTTCCTGTCTCGCACGCGCTCTGTTGTGTTGCCAATTTGCTTTTCCCAACGTTCTCATTTTAAAATCACCAGATCTCATCAACTGATAATGATCCGATCCTATATTAGTGCTCAAGAAAAGGAAAGCACGAGGTAGGAAACATTAATCCAGTTAATTGTAATTCCACAACCTTAACACTCATCCTTGCTCTCATTAGACAAGCGGAAAAAGTACTGAAAAAATATTGAAACTCATTTAAGACTATAGTGAGTGACACATCCAAGAACGTGCATTGAGATATTTTACCAATTATTTTAACTTTTTTTTTTTAGTCAACCAAGGAAAAAATTTTATCTACCACTGGGCATTAGTCTTGTATTTTTATACTTGTACTTCTCTCACGACAACCCTGGAGCCCTGATCAGTAATACAAAGGATGTATTCAAGAAGGGAAAAATTGATTTGCAAGATTTTGATCAATCAAACGCGAGACCCTCGAAAATGAAATGAAGTCAACCCTGCAACCCTCTTCAGGGAGAAATTACTGTCTAATTGTAGGTGAACATGGAACAGGAAAGACAACTTTGATTCGAAAAACCATATTGAATCTCCAAGAGCCAAAGGTAATTTATTCAATGTTTTCTTCCTTTTCAGTTTATTCACATCCAGTTTCTTTTTGATAGGGTGTTGTCCTTTTTGAATGTCCTACAGATGCAAAGGCATTTGCAACCAATTTGACAAGACACCTAGATTGTGAGTTATATCCGTCGAAGCTTCGAGATATTATCATGCAGTGGATTACTAATATTACTAATGCAATAAGAAAAGGTACTATTTGGTTCTTTTCATGCTTTTCATGGCAATTCACTTCACATTTTTACTCATAAAGGCTTCACTTGGCATGCGAGCAAGAGGAACATCCAGAATATCCTACTTGGAATCTTTTGAAAGAGTACCTTATCAACACTGCCTTTTGCTACAGACGAGAATATAAACGCCCAATGGTTTTGGTTCTTGACCAAGTAGACCGCATTGCTAAGAAGGACCAAGAATTTCTTGGGATACTCCAAGATTTTGCAAAGGACTGCGCAGATAAACACGCACTTGTCATTATATTTGTCGCAAGTGAAGGCTTGGTCACGCAACTCATGCGATGTAAGGTATAATTTTAATATCCTGCTATACATGACTGTGTTGTTGTTCTTACTAAATCTCATTCCTATTATTTAAAGCTCGCTCTGCCTGGTCGTGAGCAATTATTCCCTTAGAAGTTGGTGATATCTCAGATAAAGAAGCCGTAAAATTACTTAAAGATTCTGGTACTGACCAAAAAACTGCTGAAGATGCGGTGAAATACCTGACCGGTGGACGGTTTGCTTTATTGACTCAGTTCCAATCATTGAGTCGATATCCTAAAATTTTGTTTGAAGGTATGTATTTGTTACAATCTCAGTTTCTTAATGTAAATGGCTTGTTTTGGTCTTAACATTCCTACTTTTACCAGAATTCAAGGAGCAACTGTTCACGCAGGTTAAGAGAGATTTGGATATGGTGGAACTTCCTGAAAACCATGAATCTTTCATAAAGCTTATCGAAATACATCGTATTGGCATTCAGCAAGCTAAAACAATTATACCTCTCAACATGCTTCGCAAACTTGTCAAGGCTAACATTCTCAAAGAACATCAGGACTACACAGTGTCCTTTCATTCACGTTATATCGATACCTACTTTAAAGAGGTAATTCTTGCTGACAATATTGCGATTTGATTCATAAATATTCTAACCTTGATGAATTTACTTTAGGTGAACAAATCCTAGTTTGTTCATTTTGTGAAGTTAGATTACACGCAGAACTGCAGATTATAAATACAATGATTTTTTATCCGGGATGAAATATTTATCATGTTAAATAAAAAAAGATTCAATAAAGAGAGATGAAAGTAAAGCTATTTGGCAGGTATGCGCTAGATATATCTCAAAATTTATGTGGACATCAACGTCTATATTCTATGCTTTTACTGTTGCGAACTTGAACTTCTTACTTGAATGACCACATGTAAGATAGTATCCATTTTTATTCCATTCACCATGTATTCCATGATTCATTATACATATATTATATTATATATTATATACACATATTATCTATATCTTCTATATAGTATTATTATTGTTAATTAGCAATGTCTTGTGAAGGAATTTGCTAGAGAAAGTCTTGCTGTTGAGAGACAATTATTATAATATTTGGAGGTTACGTACTCAATAGAAATACTGCTTGTAAATAATAGCTATTGGAATGCAATTCTTGTAAAGTTTCTAAGGGTCAAATCACGAATAGGAACTCTAATTGTGAGTTTAATAATTGTGATTTTTTTTATCTTTACTAGATATTTTATTATTTACGGAACCCGGAAGTAGCCTTGTTTGTATACGGATGAAAAATTTACCCACAAAATCCTTATAAGAAATTGATTGAGGATAATAGTCCTTATTATTATAATTTGTCATTTTATGTGTGATTATGAATCAGAGAGAAATTAATCAAATTTATTTTAAATTTTTAGAAATAATAATAAAAATAATAAAAACATAACGAATTAAATAATAAATATAAATATAAAAAGGTAATTAATAAATGGTGAAAAATAATTAATTATCTATATACCCATCAACAATTCACCAAATTCCCCAACTTTAACCTTATCAACTATTTATTATCATTATCATTATAATTATAATTAGTTAATAAATAATCATATTTAAATTAATAACTTCAATTAATCTAATGCCTCATTAAAATTATATTTCATAATTTAATAAGCTATCATTACTTAAATTCAATTGAGCAAATTCTTCATTTAATATTTTACTTGTGTGATATGCTAATGGATGTGATTTGTGTACTTGTTGTGGATCACCACCACCACTACCACCAATACTATTATTATCATGATTATTATTGATAATTTCTTTTTGTTGATTCCTAGCAAAATCCAAAAGCTCACCAATAGTTGGTCTCTTGGCTGGATCCATATCCCAACACTTTTTCATCATTTGTGCATAATCATCAGACATTCCTAGTAATATTGGTGGTCGTAAACCTGCACATATATTAGATATTAAGTCATGATTATGAGCTTTATCATTGTTGTGCGTGAAATTGAAATTATGTGAATTTGAAATCCACATATGTGAAAATTGAAATTCAAATTCACATATGTGAAAAAAATTTTATAACAAAATTTGGCATGTGGATTTTAGATACCCCAAAATTTATGTGAATTCAAAATTTTTTAATTACAACGTAAAAATAAAATAAAAATAAAAATTTTTCTAACAGACATCCCATTCCCCTACCAATTTCTTTTTTTCCCAGTTACTTTTTTTTTTAACCATTTTTTTATATATGTGGAATTTTTAACAAAAAGAAGACATAAATAAACTTTCATTTAACAAGTATAGGCTACTCTTGCTAGTTAATTGCTTATTTATTGTTAATACAATTTATTTATACTAAATCATAACAACAATTTCAAATGTATATTTATGTTTTATTCTCAAAACTTATCTAAACAATTCCTTATGCTAAACAATATTTTTAGATTTCACACTATATATCCTGATAATGTTTCTTGATAGGTGCGCTTCTAGCTGTTTTCCTCTTTACTACCAAGTCAGGTGCATTTCCCAAAACTACTAAATAAAACTCATTAAATATTACCTCACTAAAAGAAAAGAAAAGAAATAAAATAATAATAAAATAGAGACAAAATATATAAAAAAGTAAAATCTGACAAACCAAGGCTAAAGTATAAAAGAGTAAAGTCCAATGTACCAAGACAAATATTAAATATATTTTAAGATGTGCCAATTCAGGCAGATAACAAAGAACTGCTGAGAAAACATTATTGGAAGGGGGAATCAAAATTATTCCAAGGATTAATAGACAAAGAGCTATTAATGATATTGATTAGAAAAGCAATTGCATTTGAGATATTTATAACAAAATTTCACAGATCAATATTTACAAGGTCGCATAATGTTAAGAACAGCTCTGAAAGATAGTGAATTTAACTTAACATTCCACAATTTAGAAATTTGATTTATCTTCTCACTAGTATGGTGGTCTTGTTTGTCTCAAAGTTACATATTACATCACAATCTATTTCTCAAATGTGACTTGGAAAATTTCTAGCCATGGATAAATATGATAAAATCAAAACTTTATTACAACATAAAAAAAAAATAATAAATTAAGTATTATACAATTCTATTAAAACATGATTTTCCAGAATGGCAGTGAGTAGTACAATTTAAATTTTTCTTTTTGCATGGGCAAATCTTATTTCTACACCCTCTTTTGCAATTACAAATACAAATATTATTATTATCATTACCCTCATTATAAACACTTTGCAAACGAGCAGCTTCTCTAAGTGAAATTTTGTTTGTAGGCGAATTATCAAGCCCAGGTACATCTTGATTCTCCAATGGTTCCAATTCAGAAGATGAGTAACACGTTTCAATTATTCCAAATTGACATGATAGTTGAAACATGTCATTATCTAAAATGTTTATTATTTTGCAAAATACAAAAATTCTATCTGTTGAATTTCTATCCTTTTTAGGTATTGATATTTTTACACATTCACCAACGCTATATTCTTTTTTTCTTTTGTTATTCTTAGTCATCTTTTTTTTCATATTGTTAGTGTAAATTTCAAGGTTTTTTCTTGCTTTTTCACGTAAAACATGATGAGCCCCATATTCTTTTCTAGTATTGCTGCTACCGCCACTATTATTGTTGTTATTGTTATTATTGTTGTCATTGTTGTTATTATTGCTCTTACCATCATCATTGTCATTGCTGTTCTCATCATCATCATCATTGCCATTCTCATCATCATCATCATTGTCATCATCATTGTCATCATCATCGCCACCATCACTCTCATCATCACCACCATCACTCTCATCATCACTCTCATCCCCATCACTATTATCATCTAATTGAGATTCCTAATGTGTGTAAAGGTTATAAATTAAATAAAAATAAATAGATACATGTTTGTAAAATCAATCTTGCTTTAGAATTTCTATTACCTGTAAATCTCTTTCAAATTCTTTAATCCATTCATTTAATTTATTTTCATATTTATCCAGTTTATCAATAGGATAAACTTTATTGGGTCTTAATTTTTGTATCATTTGTTTTGCTGAAATTAGGTGCTTCTTTTTTACTATATCATCAGACTTGCAAACAAAAAGACTTTCAAATCCTTCTTCAACTTCTTCCCATGGTATGTTGATTTGAGGTGGTTTTTCAAAAAAATCCTCGTCATCATTTATTTTTTTTAAATTGGAAGGTTTTAAAAGTCTTGGTTTGATACTTTTTTGATTGATAGATTTATCTAATAATATATATAAAAACAATGTTAAGTTAAACTAA